TTAAATATCACTGCTTTTAGAAAATTCAAGAGTAACCTTATTTACCCTAAAAGCTATGTGTAGATTGTCAAAATGTACATTTAGAAATACCACAGGCCGGGCACAGTGGCTCATGCCTGTAATCCCAGCACTTTGGGAGGCTGAGGCAGGTAGATCACCAGAGGTCAGGAGCTCGAAACCAGCCTGGCCAACATGGTGAAACCCCTAATGAAAATATAAAAATTAGCCAGGCGTGGTGGCACCTGCCTGTAATCCCAGCTACTCAGGAGACCTAGGCAGGAGAATTGCTTGAACCCGGGAGGAGGAAGTTGCAGTAAGCCGAGATCACGCCATTGCCCTCCAGCCGGGGCCACAGAGTGAGACTCTGTCTCAAAGAAAAAAAATAGTACCACAGAATTAAGTAGAAATGTCTATAGTAGAATGAATTTTCTGAGAAACGAATTAAGGTTTATGTTCCTGCTACTGCGGGGTCTCCCTGCTAAGAGAGTGGAAGGTAACATCTCTTTCCCACTGAGGAGGGGCAGGGGAGTCTGTGTCTGTGCTCTGGGCTCCTTTGCCCAAAAAGCAACCAATGGCTTGTTGTGTTTAGGGCTGAACAGAAAGAAAGGTTGCCAGGAATCTAGGGAAAGACCCTACACAGAATTTGGAAGAGCCCCAGGAGACCAGCCAACTCTAACTTGCTGGCTAGCTTGCAGGGAGAACTGGGGTGCTGCTGCTTTGAAAGGAAACAGAGTGTGGCTTGCTCATTTCCCTGGACAGTGTAAGCATCAAACAACTCAAGGGATGGGGAAGGAGCCATGAGATGTGACTGATGCTGGTCTTAGTGCATGGGGGCTTGGGGATGATCCGATTTGCCTTAGAAAAGATATGGTATTTCTTTTCATGTCAGTAGGCTCCATAGCTTACTTGGATGTTTCAGCCAATGCATGCATTCAATATATGCGTCCCGTAGCCAAACTTTCTAGTTCACTGATAAATGACTTCAGTCCCCTAGAGGAAGGGCAGGGAAAGGAAGAGGGAGAAGAGCCACTGCCCCATATTCACGCTTCTCTTCTCCTCTGGGAGCAGAGCCTGGTGTCATTCCATGTGGCCACGTGCCCATGAAGGGGTGGTGTTTCCCAGCCTCCTTGCCACCAGCCAGGCCCGATGAGAAAGACGGCTTTAAGGGAGGGCACATTACCTTTTGCTTCTTTCCCTCCTTCCGTCCTCCGATGGGAAAACAGCTCAGCGGTCAGGCACTGCAGCAGCGCCCTGGGAACATGAGGCGAGGAGAGAGGCCTGGGCTTCGGGAGAGCCGAGTAGAGGGTGAAAGTCTGGGACTTTGGTCCTCTGGGTGTTGCCACAGCAGCTCCCCTTGGGAGGGAAATGCACCTTCGCCCTGAGACTGTCTAAAAACCAAGCTTGGCTGCTGTTGGGAGGATCCTGGGTCAAAATGAAATAAATACCCCCTTGCTTGGCCAGAGAGAGGCGATGGACTGTGTGAACTCACTGCTTCCCTCCGTCTGCGCACAGCGGTTGCTGAAAAGAGGAAGTCACAGCCTGGGGGAGTTGGGCGGCACAGACAATTCTTGAGTTTTGAAAGCTATTGGCCCCAGTGAGCCCTGTGCTCCTTGGGAATAAAGGGCACGAGATCCCCCAACCCCATTTCGCATTTCCATTTTAAAGGGTGTGTAAAGTCAGTGCAAAGAGATGTAGTTATTTCCCTGTATGTAGTCAGGGGTTTCTCTGAGCTAAGCCTGCCTTTCCCGCAGAGGACAGAATGGCATCCATTAAAGACATGTGATTTATAGGGCATTGTTTTCTATCCCCAAAGGACACTGCTGTATTTTCTGTCTCTGCCCTCTTCCTTCTCTCCTGCTTTTCACCCTCTCATTTTTCCACAGTCTCACTGTGTTGTAGTAACACCTTACAACTGCCTTGGCCCCAGAGCTCTTGCCTCTGGGCCCCTCTGAGGTGCCTCCCAAGCACCACGGTCATCTCTGGATCCTTGGCCATGTGTGTGACGTGTCAGTTTGCATCATTTATCTTGAAATGGAGCCCCCGCCCTTGGGCTTATATCGATAGCCTCAGGGCCTCACTGAACAGGGCATTCTTTCAGACCCTTTGAAAGAACAGGTGAGTCTCCTTGATCTGTGAGTCTTGTATCATTCCAGAATTTCTTTGATCCTCAAAGCAGCTCTTAGGCCCGCCAGCTGGGAGGTTGATGGGCAGATGCTGGGGCCCTGATACCTTCCTGGGAAAACTTCAAGGCTGGGACTCTAAGGAAAAAGGGCCGCTTCCAAGCTGCAGGTTCATTGTACCAACATCAACAGGGTTATAGCACTGATAAAACAATAACAACAGTGGCCTCTAGCCTGTGAGGGCGTCGCAATGCCGCCCTTGCTACAGCTCCAGGCCCACCAAGCAGTCTCCCAGATGACCACAAGCCTGCACGGCATTAGTAAGAGATGCATCACAAGCTGGGCGCGGTGGCTTACTCCTGTAATCCCAGCACTTTGGGAGGCCGAGGTGGGCGGATCACCTGAGGTCAGGGGTTCGAGACCAGCCTGACCAACATGGAGAAATCCTGTCTCTACTAAAAATATAAAATTAGCCAGGCGTGGTGGCTCATGCCTTTAATCCCAGCTACTCAGGAGGTTGAGGCAGGAGACTCGCTTGAACCCGGGAGGCGGAGGTTGTGGTGAGCCGAGATCACACCACCGCACTCCAGCCTGGGCAACAAGAGTGAAGCTCTGTCTCAAAAAAAAAAAAAAAAGAAAAAAGAGATACATCGCTAGTAGGGGATTTTTCTTCCTCCTCCTCCCCTTTCTCTCCTCCCCTTGAAAGGGTCTTGAGACAGGTAACATATTAATACATCAAAGTTAAGCCACGGGAAACAGCCAGCCTTTCTAGCTGAAGACCTGTGTATTTAGCAGATGGCCCCAGATGGAAAGTACCCGCCTGAAGTTGACCTCAGTGGTGGAAACCTCAGGGTGGGAATGGGGTCGATAGGAGCAGGATGAGGTGGTCTCCTAGAAGTAGAGAAGAGAGGAGGCTGGCGGCAGAAGGGACACCCAAGTGCCCACTGGAGAAAAATTTCATACTGATGATTTGATGGGAAAGAATAAAGCCAGGTAGGTCTCACGCGTTCATCCTGTGCACAGGTGGGATGGGCTTGAAATCTAATTTCTGGTAGTGAGCCCTACCTTCAGCCTTTCCAAATGCTATTTCAGAAGAAGGGGGTACAAACTTCTCCTAACAATTTTTGGGAAAGCCAAGGAAAGAGTTTATATTACTTATCAGCAATAACACCTCGTAAAGATTGTGGTTAAATATTTCTATTTCTTTATTTATTTTCTTTATTTATTTTTGAGATGGAGTCTCTCTCTGTTACCCAGGCTGGAGTGTGGTGGCACAATCTCGGCTTACAACCTCCGCCTCCCCAGTTCAAGTGATTCTCCTGCCTCAGCCTCCCGAGTAGCTGGGATTACAGGTGCCCGCCACCATGCCTGGCTAATTTTTGTATTTTTAGTAGAGACGGGGTTTCAACATGTTGGCCAGGCTGGTCTCAAACTCCCTACCTCAGGTGATCCACCCGTCTCAGCCTCCCAAAGTGCGGGGATTACAGGTGTGAGCCACTGCACCCAGCCAAATACTTACATTTCTTAATAAAGAATTCTGCCGTCTTGTTAGCCAAATTGTTTCCTTTCCTTTGCTGGATAAATTTCTCAAGATTTTCCCTATTATCCAGCTAATGTCCAACCTTTGCCTTCAGCTTGGTACTCCACTTAGCAAGACACAGGACACTCACGGAAGCCCTGCCCCATGGAGGTCTTTCCTCTTCCACTGGCTTTCCAAGGAACTTGTCCAGGAAGACAGGTCCCCGCTAATTGAATGAGATTATCCTCCTGTATCTGATACATCGTCTCACTGAAATAGACATTTTTTTGAGATAGACAATATGCACTGCCTCTTGTAATTGTCACGATAGCCCAGCAAGGCTGACACCGATGAGAAAGCTGAGGCTCAGAGACATTAATTAATGCGCCTGAAGTGACACAGTGAAAACGTGGCAGAGCCAGACCTGAAACTCATGTCTGGGTCCCCTGACCTCTTTTGCCACTTGATCTCTCAGTTGACACCATGGGCTTCACTCTATTATCTGTGTGCTGGGTGTGTTTTGTTCATAGAATCACGTGGCTGTGAGTGTTCTTGGGTTCAATCCGGAATTATACCAACTGAAACGAAAAATTATTTGTACCACGTACAGAACATACACCGGTATAGAGGTATATTCTGATACAAAGCTATAGATGGATTAGGATTTTTAGCTGGAAACTATCTGATCTTTAAATTATCTGAAAAAAAAGTTGAAAATTGTTTTCAAGTGCCACTGTTCATCTCAGTCCAAATTTAAACCTCATGCTCAGATGCAAACGTGCTTGAGAAGCCCTATAGTGCTATGGTTACAATAATCTTTTTCTTTTCTTTTTTCTTTCTTCTTTTTTTTTTTCATTTTTAGCACTCTACAGTTAGCTTTAGGAATGCTTTCACAGGCACTGTGTCTAGTTGACTGTGCGTCTCGCAGCTTCGTTGTGACATGGGAAAGCTTGGCACTGCCATTCCTGCTTTGCAGCTGAGACTCATGCATGTTAAAGAACTTGCTTACTGTTCTGACAACTGAGAAACGTAAGCCAGATCCCAGTCCTCCATTTGCATACTCCAGTTCCAGTGCTTTTATGTCTTCATTATTTTCCATTCATTACACATTTATATTTCCTACCATTTCCAGGAACTGTATTAGGCACAGTGAAATGAAAACTGATTAAGACGCAGTTTCATCTTTGTAATAGCTGGCATTCTAGTGAGATGAAAGACTGGAGACTTGATTGGCATGATATCACCTGCCAGATGCTGGAATGGCGACGCGGACACTTGGATGGAATCGCTTGTGCTGCTTTGGGCTGTGGGGGAGACAGGGAGCATCACTGAGTGGGTCTGAAGCATCTCAGTGGATGAGTAAATGTGTTTGGGCAAACGGAAGTGGAAGGAGGTTTAAACCAGCAGCATTTACAAAGGAACTGGCATTTGGTGGCCAGTGAGAAAGGCAATGTGTTAGGAACAGAGGAATGCTCAGGAAGATGGAGGAGATGAGAAAAATAATAGATAATTCGCCCTGATTTGAGGTGAGCCATGTCCAGTGCATTTAAGGCCTTGGAATTTATCCCATAAATCAGCGTTTCTCAAACTGAGCTGTGTGGAATACTGCAGACCACCCATGGATCTACTCTCAGAAATCTGTGCGCTCTTTCCAGTTTTTAATACTGGTGATATTTTAAAATGAAGTATTACAAGTCTATTCTGCATCATCTGGAGAGCCAGCTCAGACCAAGGGGACAGGAGACCACAGTCACCTGATTCCAGCGCCATAGGCATTTTCCATTGAGGATTGCTTCCATGCCAAGGAAGGCACAGTGATGTCATGAAGAGGCTTCACAGTAGTTTGAAAGGAGAAGAGGAGGGCGAAAATAAAGTCATCACCTTGAACAAGGTAATCAGGCTGTCGGCATCCATAGAACTCATCTCATTTGTCATGTCGTAGTCACGTGAATGGATGTTCTTGGCACAGCCTGTCTTGTCTTGTTACCTCATAATGGTTTATTAGCAGAAAGTGTTGGAGAAACTATTGAAGAATTTTTTATTTTACTTGCAGAAATAATTATCTTAGAAATCTAATGTAGATTTAAGTAACAGCAAAACGGCTATTGTATTTTCAAGTGAACAAGTCAACTTGACTAATTTATCAACTAACATTTCAATAAAAGTGATTTTTGAGGATGGGTGACTGGCATGTTTGGCTAACTATGAGATGTGATTGTTGAAAACTAATGAACAAAACCTTCAAGAGCTTATTATTCTTTCATTTACCAAGCATTCTTAATGGTATTATTATTAACAAATAAAGCTAAACATTAAATATAGAATTGGACCTGAAGCCACATTTTTATCCTTATTATCAGTCATTTAGAATAAAACAACATCATCGTTCACATTAAATAAATGACTTTAATATGATATTGGTTTTGTAGTTTTGTTTGTATTTGTTTGAAATTATATTTGTTTTTATAGCTAAGAGTATGAGAATAATGTACATATATAGTTTTCATTTGAATGTACTTAAATACAAATAAGAATAATAACACTAATGATATGATATAATTTGAGGCAACGCTAAAGATTTAAGAATATTATTTTTTCTCTTAAAAGGAGTATGTACATTTATGATATTTGCAAGCAAGCAAGGGAAAAACACTGACTTTTTTTAAAAATTAGAGGTGTTTTAATGTATGGTCATATTTTTGTTAGAGATGGGACTTCGATGACAGAGTGGAAAACTCATTGGGAGGGAAGTTGGAATATGGGAGGCTATGAAGCTGGTTCGGTGGTGGAGTGAGCAGGAGAGTTGGCATTTCTGCAACTGGATAAAATATTCTTGTGGCTGGCTGGGCATGGGCTGATGCTGAGGTGAGAGTTTATAGTGGTGGAGATTTTGGAATTTGTGCAACTTTCTGGATAATTATACAGATAACCAGGATTGAGAATGCAAAATGTGGCACACATTAGGTAAAAGTTACCAAGTATTGGCTGGGTGTGGTGGCTCACGCCTGTAATCCCAGCACTTTGGGAGTCCAAGGTGGGCAGATCACTTGAGGTCAGGAGTTTGAGACCAACCTGGCCAACATGGTGAAACCCCATCTCTACTAAGCGTACAAAAATTAGCTGGGGATGGTGGTGTGTGCCTGTAGTCCCAGCTACTCAGGAGGCTGAGGTGGGAGATTCACTTAAACCTGGCAGTCAGAGGTTGCAGTGAGCCAAGATCGCGCCACTGTACTCCAGCCTAAGTAACAGAGTAAGACTCCATCTCAAAAAAAAAAAAAAAAATAGTTACCAAGTATAGTTTGTACATCTGCAAATTTTGTTATTCTAGTAAATACACAACACCCCCCCCACACACACATACCTCAAATACCTCCTATTTGAGAAGGCAAAGAGAAAAAGGACCCATGAAGGACAGAATGGATGAATGCGAGGTGCCTCTCAGGTCTAACATTCCATATGTGGATCTCTGATGTTGAAATGATATTAGAAACTATTTTTTTCTTTTGATAATTTGCATAAAGGGTGTAGTATATTTTCTCTAAGATTATCTCTCAAATTAGTACTTTAAAAACTTTCATAGTCAAAAGATAGCAATAGGGCAGTTCTGGTTCCAGTTAAGATGGAGAAAACACACTCTACTCCTTCTCTCCCACAAAATACAACTAAAATCTTGGAGAGAATCCATGGGACAACTATTTGAGGATTCTGAAAAGTCAATGGTGCGGCTCTCTAAAGAGTCTGAAAAGCAAAGGGTAGCAGGCATAGTGGGGAAGAAAATCAGATGGTTTGAAGTATGCTAAATCTAGTGGTGAGTTTCTTGTTTTTTGTTTTGTTTTGCTTTCGTTGTTGTTGTTGTTGTTGTTTTTTCTACCAGCATGCACCCCAGGGCAGCATGGGTCCTGGAATAATGCACTGGGCAAGAACAGGAAGAACTTCAAAGAAAGGATTTACTTTCTGGCCCGAGGAGTAGAAAGGAGCAGAGAGAGTGGAAGACATCCTTTGTCCCCCTTGGAAACCCATGCCTGCAGCTGCAGCTGTCGCAGTGGTGACAGTGGATTTGGGTAGGCACCTAAAACTCTGAGGAAGGAGAATCCTTTTCATAGGAGGAATATGTCTGAAGAGTGTGGTGGAATCTCTGTTGCATTTTTTTTTGTCTCTCTAGCCTCCTGCTGCTTGACTCTGCACATATACACACTTGCAGTAAGTGTACAGCAGAACCAGGAAACTAAATTGCTCAGATTTCTAAACAGAGGGCCAAGAAAGCAGATACCTGGAAGCAAAAGACTGAGCAGGAACTACAGAAAGGGGAAGCTCAAGAAAGTGACATACCAATTGTATATGAACTTTTGGGCTTGCTTCAAGCTGAGTCTGCATGGATCTGACCCCAAACAGCATACGAAAGGTTTTGAGAACTATGGAATAGACAACTTCCTGGGATTCAGTGTTTGTAATGAGTGGTGCACACATAAAGCTGATCTAAAGAACACTGGAAAGTCTTTGAAAACTAAACTGACATTACAAGCATAGCTTATACAAAGCATGTTAGAACATACATCTTGAAATCACATTCATTAGTCGCCCGCAAAAGCAAAAAGCAAAACCCCAACATTCTTCATAAGTTGTATGAAGGCTCATAACGTTATAACAATATTCAAAATGTTCAGCATACAGCCCAAAATTAATCAACATAAGTAAAACCAGAGAAGCCTGATAAATTCTCATTGGGAGGAACAATGAACATACATCAAACCCAAGATATCCAGATGTTTGAATGATCAGAGAGATTTAAAGTAGCCATTGTAACATGCTTCAAGAAGTAGAGCAAACATTCTTGGAAGAAGCAAAAATATAAAGTATAAAGAGCCTCAACAGAAAAACAGAAGTTGTAAAAACGAGAACAAATTGGAAATTTTAGAACTGAAAAATACAATAACAGAAATTTTAAAAATCCATTGACTCAATAGCAAAAGAGATGATACAGGAGTTGATTTGAAGATAGAACAATAGAAATTATGCTTTATAAACAACAGAGAATAAAATAAGAGCCTCAGAGAACTGTGGAGTAAGGTTAAAAGGTTCACTATTTGTGCCAGAGTCCCAAATGGACAGAAGAAAAATGCCCCGTAGACTTTTTTTTTTCTTTTTATGAAATCATAGGTAAAAACATCCAATTTTGGTGAAAGACATAAACATACAAATTCAAGAAATGGAGCGAACCTTAAACAGGACAAAATAAGGAAATCCACTCCCAGATACATCATAATCAAACTTTAAATCTAAAGATAAAAACATTGAGAAATGCCAAAGAAAAACAACACTTTATATATGAGGGAAAAACTATCAGAAAGATTGCAAACTTTTTATCAGACCAGAAGGCAATGGAATAACATTTTTAAAGTTACTGAAAGGAAAAGAAAAAAGCCTGTCAACTCAGAGTATTATATCCGACAAAATTATTCTTCAGAAATAAAGGCAAAATAAAGACATTGTCAGGTGAAGGAAAACTAAGAGAGTTTGTTACCAGCAGACTTGCTCTAAAACAGCCTGTTGACATTTGAGATTGGATAATGCCTTATTGTGGTGGGCTGCTCCATACAGTATAGGATGGTTAGCAGCATCCTTCTCACCAAGTTGTGGCAATAAAAAATGTCTGCAGACATTGCCCTTTGGAGGCAAAATGGCACCCAATTGAGATCACTTCCTTGAAAGAAATGTGAAGGTATTTGTTCTGTTGGAAGGGAAATGATGACAGAGGGAAGGACGGAACTTTAGAAATTAAAAGAAGGGTCATAAAATCATAAACATCTAAGTCAATACAGTAGTCTATTTTTCACCTTTTAAGTTCTTTAAAATATATATAATGGCTGAAAGTAAAAGCTTTAACATTGTCTGATGAGAGTTTTCAGTGGCTATAGATACATGTGACAACTACAGTGGAAAGTGAGGAGGGTACATTGGTGTATGTGGTGATGAGATTTCTGCATTTCCACTTGAAGTGGTAAAATATTAATTCTAAGTGGACTATGAACAATTGGCATGCATATTGTAATCCCTAGAGCAACCACCAAAGACTACATGAGGAGATAGAGCCAAAAACCCAATAGATAAATTAATTATGATTGAATTATAAAAAATATTCAAATAATTCAAAAGAAGACAGGAAAAGAGAAACAGAAGAATAAAACCCAAATGGAACAAGCAGGAAACAAGAAAGTGGTAGCCTTAAATCCAAACATATCAATAATTACATTAAATGCACATGGCTTAAACACACTGATTAAAGAAAGAGTCAATCAAATGTGGGCTACAAGAAATCCATTTAACATATAGTGGTACAGGTAAATTAAAAAGAAAAGAAAGAAAAATGATATAGCAGGTAAACACTAATCAATAGAAAGCTGGAATGGCAATATTACTGTCAGACAAATGAAAAGTTAGAGTATGGTAATTAAAAGGGATAAAGAGAGACACTATAGAATGATAAAAAAAATACTTTTCTTTTTCTGTGCAAATATATTATCTGACCATGTGGCAGCCCTGGAATCTCTCTGAACCCATTCTGGTCAGGTTGGTGCCCGATTTTGGAATCATTCTTTGCTCACTTAAACTCTGTTAAATTTAAAAGCAAAAAAAAAAAAAAAAGATCAATTCCTCAAGAAGCCGTGACAATCCTAAGTGTGTAGGCACATAACAATAGAACTTCAAAATACATGAAGCAATATTGACAGCATTGAAAGGAGAAATGAACAAATTCACAATTAGAGGTGGACACTTAACACTTCCCTCTTGGTAACTGATGAAACATATTAACAGAAAATCATCAAATGCATATAAAAGAACAGCATATGGGGTATCAGTGACGGCGGCACAGTAGTGACTAGGAGTCTGGGT